TGCATGTGTTTTTTGTAAGTCTTTTCCTTCTCTTGTGTTTCCTGCCTAGAGAAATTCCTTTAGCATTTGTTGTAAAGCTGGTTTGGTGGTGCTGAATTCTCTTAACTTTTGCTTGTCTGCAAAGTTTTTAATTTCTTCATCAAATCTGAATGAGATCCTTGCTGGGTAGAGTAATCTTGGTTGTATGTTTTTTCTTATCATCACTTTAAATATGTCTTGTCTTTCCCTTCTGGCTTGCAGAGTTTCTGCTGAAAGATCAGCTGTTAACCTTATAGGGATTCCCTTGTATGTTTTTTGTTGCTTTTCCCTTGCTGCTTTTAATATTTTTTCTTTGTATTTAATTTTTGGTAGTTTAATATGTGCCTTGGCATGTTTTTCCTTTGATTTATCCTTTATGGGACTCTGTGCTTCCTGGACTTGATTGACTATTTCCTTTCCCATGTTATGGAAGTTTTCAACTATAATCTCTTCAAATATTTTCTCAGACCCTTTCTTTTTCTCTTCTTCTTCTGGGACCCCTATAATTCAAATGTTGGTGTGTTTAATGTTGTCCCAGAGTTCTCTGAGACTCTCCTGAGTTCTTTTCATTCTTTTTTCTTTATTCTGCTCTGCGGCAGTTATTTCCACTATTCTATCTTCCAGGTCACTTATCTGTTCTTCTGCCTCAGTTATTCTGTTATTGATTCCTTCTAGAGTATTTTTAATTTCATTTATTGTGTTGTTCATCATTGTTTGTTTGCTCTTTAGTTCTTCTGTGTCCTTATTGAACGTTTCTTCTGTTTCTCCATTCTATTTCTGAGATTTTGGATCATCTTTACTATCATTACTCTGAATTCTTTATCAGGTAGACTGCCTATTTCCTCTTCATTTCTTTGGTCTGGTGGGGTTTTACCTTGCTCCTTCATCTGCTACATATTTCTCTGTCTTCTCATTTTGTTTAACTTATGGTGTTTGTGGTCTCCTTTTCACAGGCTGCAGGTTCGTAGTTCCCGTTATTTTTGGTGTCTGCCCCCAGTGGGTGAGGTTGGTTCAGTGGCTGTGTAGGCTCCCTGGTGGAGGGGACTGGTGCCTGTGTTCTGCTGGGTGAGGCTGGATCTTGTCCTTCTGGTGGGCAGGGCCGTGTCTAGTGGTGTTTTTTGGGGTGTCTGTGAACTTATTATGACTTTAGACAGCCTCTCTGCTAATGAGTGGGGTTGTGTTGCTGTCTTGCTAGTTGTTTGGCATGGGGCATCCAGCACTGGAGCTTGCTGGCTGTTGTATGGAGCTGGGTGTTAGTGTTGAGATGGAGATCTCTGAGAGCTCTTACTGATTGATGTTATGTGGAGCCTGGAGGTCTCTGGTGGTCCAGTGTCCTGGACTTGGCTCTCCCACCTCGGAGGCTCAGGCCTAACACCTGGCCAGAGCACCAAGACCCTGCCAGCCGCATGGCTCAGAAGAAAAGGAAGGAAAAAAAACAACAGAAAAAAATGAACAGATAGAACCCCAAATCAAATGGTAAAAGCAAAACTATACAGACAAAATCACAAAAAGAAACACACACACACACTGATAAAAAGAAAACAAACAAAAACAAACAGACAGAACCCTTGGACAAATGGTAAAAGCAAACCTAAACCGACAATAATCACAGAAAGTAACATATATACACACACTCACAAAAAGAGAAAAAAGGAAAAAAAATTTTTTTAAATAAAAAGGAAGAGAGTAACCAAACTAATAAACAAATCCACCAATGATAACAAGCACTAAAAACTAAGATAAACCTAAACCCAAAAACAAATCAGACGCAGAAAGCAAACCCCATGTCTACAGTTGCTCCGAAGTCCACTGCCTCAATTTTGGGAACATTCATTGTCTATTCCTGTATTCCAAACACGCAGGGTTTATCATGTTGATTGTGGGGATTTAATCCACTGCTTCTGAGGCTGCACAGAGAAATTTCCCTTTCTCTTCTTTGTACAGCTCCTGGGGTTCAGCTTTGGTTTTGGCCCCACCTCTGTGTGTAAGCCCCTCTCAAGCATCTGTTCCCTGCCCAGACAGGAGGGGGTTAAAGCAGCAGCTGATTAGGGCTTTCTTGCTCACTCAGGCCAGGGAGAGGGAGGGGTACAGTAGTCATAATTGGAATGCGGGCCAAGCATGTGGCGGGAGAGGCCAGTGTGACATTGCAACAGCCTCAGGTGTGCTGTGTGTTCTCCCAGGGAAGTTTTCCCTGGATCATGGGACCCTGGCAGTGGCATGCTACACAGCCTCCCAGGGAGGGTGTGAGTAGTGACCTGCCCTTGCACGTAGGATTCTTGGTGACAGCAGTGGCAGCGTTAGTGGTACATGCCCATCTCTGGGGTCCAAGCTGACAGTCGTGGCTCATGCCCATCTCTGGAGCTCGCTTAGGCAGTGCTCTGCTGTCTCTGGGCACACGGAGCAGGAATCCCCTCTCCTTGCGCACCCCGAAACAATGGTCTCTTGCCTCTTAGGCAGGTTCAGACTCTCCCAGACTCCCTCCCGGCTAGCTATGGGGCACTAGCCCCCTTCAGGCTGACTTCACGCAGCCAACCCCAGTCCTCTCCCTGGCATCTGACCTCCGAAGCCTGAGCCTTAGCTCGCAGCCCCCACCCGCCTCGGCGGGTGAGCAGACAAGCCTCTCAGGCTGGTAAGTGCTGGTTGGCACCGATCCTTTGTGCAGGAATCTCTCCGCTTTGCCCTCCGCACCCCTGTCGCTGCACTCTCCTTCATGGCTCTGAAGCTTCCCCCCTGGTCACCCCCTGTCCCCGGCAGTGAAGGGGCTTCCTAGTGTGTGGAAACTTTTCCTCCTTCACATCTCCCTCCCAGAGGTGCAGGTCCCGTCCCTATTCTTTTGTCTCTGTTTTTTCTTTTTTCTTTTGCCCTACCCAGGTACGTGGGGATTTTCTTGCCTTTTGGGAGGTCTGAGGTCTTCTGCCAGCGTTCAGTAGGTGTTCTGTAGTCATTGTTCCACATGTAGATGTATTTTTGATGTATTTGTGGGGAGGAAGGTGATCTCCCCGTCTTACTCCTCCACTATCTTGAAGGTCCCTGCACTTGTTTGTTGATGGGTTATCATGGCAGTGGGAAGCACAGAAAAAGTTAATTATCAGCACAGACTAAAATGGAACAATTTGGACTTTGGTTTAAAATTAATTAAAATTCTGTTTCTAGTGTTAAAAAAAGAAAAAGAAAACTGAATTTTTTTTCAGAATTATTATTATTTTTAACATCTTTATTGGAGTATAATTGCTTTACAATTGTGTGTTAGTTTCTGCTTTATAACAAAGTGAATCAGTTACACATATACATATGTTCCCATATCTCTTGCCTCTTGCGTCTCCCTCCCTCCCACCCTCCCTATCCCACTGCTCTAGGTGGTCACAAACCACCTAGCTGATCTCCCTGTGCTATGTAGCTGCTTCCCACTAGCTATCTGTTTTACGTTTGGTAGTGTATATATGTCCATTTATCTATTAGTTCTATCTACCTAGTTGTTTCCCAATTATATATATATTTTTTAATTAGCTAGCAGGTAGGTAGTAGAGCACATGGTGGGACATACACAGGGTATTATGGCCTAAACTGCAAACTCGTTAAAATATGCATACACATATACATATATACGTGCATACACACACACACACACACACACACACACACACACACACACACACACACACACACACACACACACACATATATATTAGGTTGGCCAGAAAGTTCATTTGGGTTTTTCATAACATGTTACAGAAAAACCCGAGCGAACTTTTTGGCCAACCCAATGTATGTATTTTATATGTAAGCATAGGAAAATAACTGCCAGAATTTTGTAGTGACTTAAGGGTAAATTTTGTTAACCAGTCTCAGAGGCCATGAATTTGTGGGTGACATTATCTAATGGGTTTTTAAAGGGAAGTAGTAAGTATAGGAGCCCAGCACTATACCTCGAGGTTGGCAGCAATGAAGATTACCGTGCCCTTTATTTCAGTGAAACTGGCTAAGGCAGTTTATTGGACTAAAGGGATTCTTGATCTAACGTGACACTTCTTTCTTTTTTGATTGTTGGTATATTTGTTAGTATACATCTATTTAAGCACCTATCTAACCCTGAGGAAGAAAATACTTTCATTTTTATGAAGAGTAACCATAGTAGCCATGTTTTTGCTGTTGTCATTACTTTTAGGCCACAGTACATTCATGACATGGATAAGATAAATGGCCTTTATACAACTTTCCACTAAAATTATGTGGCCAGTAAGACAGAATTGTGAATGTAATCTGTTTGTTATTTCCCATTGTGACACATACTCTAATGTAGAATAATTTCTCATCCTACTTTCCAGAAGGAAAGAAGCAGAAAAAATTGTCATTTATTTATTGGATAAATATTGATTGAACATTCACTGTGTGTCAGAACTGTTGTAGACACTGGGTGTATAGTGGAGAGCTAAATAACATGGTCTTTGCCTTCATGGAGTCATAGAGTAGAAGCTGCAACTGAAATGCACTAATAATAATGCTTTTTATGTTGACACCTACTTTTGCATATTGCAGTGTTTTTCAACCCTGGCTACATAAACAAATCACACACCTAACCTTGTAAAGAGTCAGAGGTCCAGACTTTTAACTTTGGAGATTCAGATTTCAGTATGTTTGGACTAAAGCCTGTGCACAGGGATATTTTTTAAAACTCCACAGATGATTCTTATGTATAGCTGGTATTGAAAAATCCTAGTGTATCAACTTGTAGTTCTTATACTACGTATATTGTCCCATTTGACCTCTGGATAGCAACCATTTCTGTTAAGTAGAGTAGGTATTACTAGCCTGTTACCACAGTTTTATAAATTAAGAAACTAAAAGCTACAAGATCATGTACCTCATAAATAGCTGAGATAGATGCAGAAACCAGGTCCTGTGACTCTTCAGAGAGAAGTCTATTCTTTTATTAATTAAAACAATTACAGAAAAGTCAATTGATTTTTTTTGTGTGTGTTAAGGGTGAAGAAAAAGATGCATTACTACACTTTTTTGAAATTGTGACTGATTCTCTCTTCTGGCTATTGGGAGGACATGTTCAACTCATCCAGAATGGTAAGAAAAAAGATTTTTTAATTGATAGTCATTGTAGAGTCACCTGCTAACAGTTTGATTGTTTTTTTTCTAAAAATAAATACCTCATTAACTACAGATAACCACAGTTAAATGAAACCACACTGAAATAACCCCACACACAAAAAGTAAAAGCACATTTGGATGTTCCAGCTTTAAATAGACAACATCAACAATGTGGATATTACATTAAGTGGAAAATTGCTAAAATATAACTTTCTCCTTAGTTTTTTCTATTTAGCAAATCTAAGATAAGGATTAATGATCTTAACAGTTTAGTCTAGGGAAAATCTTTTTTTTTTCCCCCAAAGATTACAGTTATATTTTAGACTTAGTATGATAGACATCCCTATGTACAGAGTATAGATATAATTTAACTCACAGCCTAACTATTGATGTAAGAGTAAGCTTTTATATAGTGATATTTTACTAAACTTGAAAGTTACTATATAGGATTTCTGTACTTACATTGAGCAATACAAATACATGTTAGTTTTATATTATGTTTCCTTAAGACTAAGAAAGTAAACTAATAATAATCATGACAACATTCTAACCTTCTTGAAAGATTTAATCTAAGAAAAATGTAATTATATAGGAATAATGTAAGAACATTGATATTTTTTAGAACGTTAAAATTGAACTGAATATTAATATTTTATTTTTTACTCTCAGAATTATGTATGTGCATAATTTAAAGAGTCGGATGGTTCCGTAAGAATTGTTTAAAAAATACACACAATCCCTCACACCTCACTCCAGTTCCCATTTTCTAAAGGCAACTACTTTCGATTAGTATAACTAATACTTTTGGTAGTTATATCCACATAGAGCTAAGTAACATGCTTGAATACTTCTTTTAAAAATAAGCATTATCTATTCATTTCCCATTATAGAACAAATATTAGTATAAACTTCCCAACTTAAAGAACTATTTTACCAAAAATATAAAGTACTTAGCCACACTATAGTGAGATATTAAAGACCTAGTTAATGAGAGACAGAGAGAGAATACTTGAAAAATTTTTAAATATGCCATATTCCTTTTCAAAAATTATAACAAAAGTGACAGTACTCCTCAGATCAATCTGTAGATTTAAAACACCAATAAAGTAGGTATTAAAACTAAGTTAAACAATTGGATACAAAATTAGGATGTCCAGTAACCTTTTCTCTCAAAAGAACCACCTCCTTGGAGAAATGGCTGACTATATATAGGTATGAGGTAGAAAATATGCAAGATAAGCCAGAAGTATCTTGAATAACTAGATAGGAAGGAGGCAATCAAAGTCTGTTAGGATTCTGTGAAAAGGACTCAGGAGCCAACATAAGGAGGCTTCTACTAGCTAAAAATGGGAAATTTGAACAGTAATAAGGGTAATAACTACAGTGGATTAAAACTCGTCAAATATAGTGAGATTATTAACTTTAACCTTTTATTATGGAAAGTAGAATAGTATAATGAACCCCTATGTACTCATCACTGAGCCTCAACAATTATCAACATTTTGCTAATCGTTTTTTTATATATTCCCATACCATTATTAATAAAAGTTACCATTAGAGTCTGCTAGGGGACCAGTTCATTTTGAAAACTGGTAAATGGAGAGTCCGGCATTTATACTGCCTTTTCTTACATACTGATGAGGAGAAACTTTTCTTTATAAACATATCCCAACTAATAAGTGAAAAGGGTATGATAGAATAGTGCCATTTTGCAACCTTTAGTGAATTATCCATCACTGTCAACACCTCAAAAGGAGAGACAACCAGATAATAAGTGCCTCATCATAACCTCACATATGACATGGATATGCCAGAAATTCAAACATGAATCATTTTGATTCTGGAGCTCCAACTACCAATTTGTAGAAGGTCAGAGAAACATTAAATTATACCCCAGGAATGCAGTTAGCAAAGCTAGACTGTGGGAAACTCATAGGACAATTGACATAGTTTCGTCAATAAATAAATTGCAGGGGGGAAAAAGGGTAAAGTAGAAACCCATAGGTTAAAAGAAATTTGAAAGATAACCAGTTCCAATGTGTGACTCTTAATTGGATCTTGATTCAAATAAACTTTTAAAAATTCACACAAAGGGCTTCCCTGGTGGTGCAGTGGTTGAGAGTCCGCCTGCCGATGCAGGGGACATGGGCTCGTGCCCCGGTCCGGGAAGATCCCACATACCGCGGAGCGGCTGGGCCCGTGAACCATGGCCGCTGAGCCTGCGTGTCAGGAGCCTGTGCTCCGCAACAGGAGAGGCCACAACAGTGAGAGGCCCACATACGGCAAAAAAAAAAAAATTCACACAAAAAGTGGAAATGGGAGGACTGACTGGATATTTGATAAAATCAGGGAATCGTGATTATTTAGGTTAGATAATGGCTATGTTTTATTTTTTAATAATTCATATGTTTGGGGAATATGTATTGAAATACTTGTGGATAAAATGATTTGATGTCTTAGATTTGCTTTCAAATAAAATGGGAGGCAGGAAGTAGATGGGATAGGTGAAACAAGATTGTTGGTGAGTTGATCACTGTTAAAGTTGAGTGACTGGTACATGCAGGGTCATTATACTGTTCTCTCTACTCTTACATATGTTTGAAACTTTAATTGTAAAAAGTTAATTAAAGAAAGAAATGGGCAGAAGTATCAGTTTTAGTTTGGGGGACCAAATAGTTATCTGACTGCACTTGAAAAACATAGTAGAGGCTCCAAAAATAGGTTATATAATAATATAAGACAAATAGTATAAAAAATAAAGTAGAATAACTTTAATAAATTATCATAATTTTTCCAATATAGAAAAAAGGTATATACACACTAGATACTATATGATTTCAGTGAATTCAAAGTTAATTAAAGAGTTGTTAATGAAACATCTTTAAGTAGACAAAAATGGAAAAATACACTTATCCCAGCTACAGAGGAGAATTTTTTTGCTATTAAAGAATAGAAAATTAGAAGCCATAAAAATATTTAATAGTAGTGGTATTGTGTTTTGAAGTTGTTAAACATTAAAAAAGAATGGTATCTGGTGAGATATTGAAATACTGGATTATATAAATAGAAATGAAGAACAGTAGTTAGTATGTGAAAGAAATCAAATACGTTCCCTCAGGAAACTGAAAGAGGAAAAGAGGAAAGTTGTTTTGTAGAAGCTAGGGTAGTGTTCACAGAGCTGCCTTGCCAACATACCTGATCCCACTTTAATTAAAATTCTGAGAGGCTTCCCTGGTGGTGCAGTGGTTAAGAATCCACCTGCCAATGCAGGGGACATGGGTTCAAGCCCTGTTCCGGGAATATCCCACGTGCCACGGAGCAACTAAACCTGTGTGCCACAACTACTGAGCCTGCGCTCTACAGCCCGTGTGCCACAACTACTGAAGCCTGCACACCTAGAGCCCATGCTCCACAACAAGAGAAGCCACTGCAATGAGAAGCCTGAACACCGCAATGAAGAGTAGCCCCCGCTCACCGCAACTAGAGAAAGCCCGTGCACAGCAACAAAGACCCAACACAGCCAAAAATAAATAAATTTATTTTTTAAAAAAATTCTGATCAGTTAGTGAAGAAAGGACTATAAACTGACATTTACTGGGAACCTACGCTGTTCTAGGACATTTTACAGTAGTCTGTGAAAGAGCTGTTATTTTTAGCTTTATAGAGGCAGAAATAGATGTTCTGAGAGGTTAAGCGACTTGCGTAAGCATCCAGTGCCGTCTTCATAACTGGCTGCTCAGAACCTAAAAATTATAAACCAATACAAACAAATACTCTTCTGGGTAATTCATGATTTATTATTATTTAAGATAAGATATTAGCAAACATGATAAACATGATACATTATATAACAATTAAATTTTTAAGGACATGAGCTGCTGATTACGGTCATCTGTGCCATTGCTATTCCTTCACATTCTCTTTTTTTCACAGAAAATTTGGTTTTCTTCACTGAACTCACTGCTAGAAAAGGAGATTCAGTTTTAGGATTTTATATTTTACTTTTAATTTAAGGGGAGATAACAGTAGATTCTTAGCTTAGTATTTCTTTATTTTTCTTTTAATTTATTTTTGGCTGCATTGGGTCTTCATGCTTTCTCTAATTGCAGCTAGCGGGGGCTACTACTCTTCGTTGCAGTGCATGGGCTTCTCATTGCGGTGGCTTTCTTGTTGCGGAGCACGGGCTCTAGGTGGTGCATAGGCTTCAGTATTTGTGGCACGCGAGCTCAGTAGTTGTGGCTCGTGGGCTCTAGAGTGCAGGCTCAGTAGTTGTGGCTCATGGGCTTAGTTGCTCTGTGGCATGTGGGATCTTCCCAGACCAGTGATGGAACCTGTGTCCCTTACATTGGCGGGCACATTCTTAACCACTGCGCCACCAGGGAAGTCCCATCTTAGCTTAGTATTTCTTTATTTGTAACTGTCCATAAAAATGGGATAGCTATCTATTATAGTTATTGAAACTATTCTAGAAAATCTTTACTGCAAAGTATATAAAGGCAGGAAGTTTAACAAATGATTATGCTTTGGCTTGGTTTTGAAAGGGCAAGTAAATACTAATTGTATCATCATAGAATCTTAATCTTATTTTCTCTTCCTTTAGTACTGCGAAGTGATCATTTCTTGCACTTACTACAAACTGACAATGTTCAGGTAGGATCTACGGTCATGACCATGCTACAGAACATACTACAGATCAACAGGTAACTTGGCCTTACAAAATATGTAGAATTTTTTTATTTGTGATCAGAAGCATTACCAATTTTATTCCAATTTTCCTAAAATCTTCGATTGCATATGACTTGTACATGGCATTTAAAAAGCTCTATTATTACCATTGTATTTCAGAAAAAAATGGATGTAAAATACTGTAAAAGACTGGAAATTTGTTATCAAATTTGTATCTTATCTTAGAGCTTAAGAAGATTTTAATCCAAATCGCAGGCTTAGAGAAGAAAAATTACCGTGATATCTGAAGGAAAATATTGGGATCACAATAAAAAATATTTAATCATATATTTATTTAGCAAACTGCAAGCTTAGTATTTGCCAGGTGCTATAGAAGGGCATAAAAGAAGTAATAGGCAATTTTCCCAGGTTAAAATAGAAAGGCAGAGTAAACACTATTGAAATCATTGATTCTTTCAGCTCAATATGGATTTGTTAAGCATCTACTATACGTGCCAAGTATTTGTCTGTCATTGGGTTTACAAAATTGATTACGATATGAACCTTGTCTTCAAATAGCTTACAGTATAGTGGAAGAGACTAACACATAAGGACAATTATATTACAGTGTAATAAGTTACCATGTTTAAGGGTACACAAGTATCAGAGGAGCTCCTAAACCAAACTGAGGGGGGGCTACTTCCTGGAGAAGGTTAACACCTGAGATGAAACTCTACGGATAAGAAATTAACCAGGGAGGAAGAAGAGAAAACAGTATTTCTAGGCAGAGGTAACAATATAAGCAAGTGCACACAGGTAAGAAACAACATGCAGAGGGTGAAAAGTAGGCTAGAGTTTATAAGACAGGATACCATAGAAGAGAGAGCTACACAAAGAGAGAACCCCAGAGATCTGCAGAGTCCCCTACAAGTTTTCAGTAGAGTACTGATCAGCACATGCGTTTGAGGAAACTATCCAATGTCGTGGAAAACAGTAATCCAGAAGGATTAAAAGGAGCAGTACCAGAAACACAGAGCCAAGAATACTGACTGATTCCAGCAGCCAAACTGGAAAACTACGTGAAAAATGGAGCACTGAGAGTACTCAGGATGGTTTCATCCTAGTAGTGAGGGATAATAGCACTAGACTGAGCACCATTCTGGATCATCCAAACAAAATGAAAGCAAGATCTGAAAGGATCAAATTGTTTCCAAGCAACTTAACCACATCTGGTTATTGAAACTGCCTACATCTTAAAATTTTCTTTATTTGTAAAGTAATACAAAGGCAGGAAGTTTAGCAGAAATGGTCATACTTTGATTTGGCTTTAAAAGGATGAGAAAATCAAACTTGTGCCATGATAGAATCTCTGCTTTGCTCTTTTTTTTTCCCCCTCTTCCTTTAGTAATACAAAGTAATCATTTCTGCAAACTGATGATGTTCAGATAGGATCTACAATCATAACTATGTATAAAATTCTAGGAAATGTAAATTAATTTATAGTGACAGAAAGCAGATCAGTGGTTGCCTGGGTATAAGGTGCCAGGGAAGGTAAGAAGGGAGGGACTACAGTGAAACAAAAGGAAGCTTTGATGGGTGATGGGTATGTTCATTATCTTGATTGTGATGGGGAAATGTCAGAACTTACCAAATTGTACATTTAAATGTGTGCAGTTTGTTGTATATCAATTATACTTTAATGAAGCTGGTCAAAATAAAAAATCATCAAGTCTTCATGAGCATTTTGATACAGAGTAAAATAAAGGATGCATTCAGGTATGACACCAAGTTTTCTATAATGGATAATAGACAGTGGTATAGCCAAAACAAATTCAATATTGGTTATGTCCAACATAGGTAGATATTTTCAGCAGACAGAGAAATAAGAGTCCGTGCAAAGACTTGTACACAAATGTTTATAGCAGCTTTATCTGTAATACCCAAAGACAAGACAACTTAAATGTCCACTGACAAGTGAATGTGACTTCTGGAAGAGATCTGGACTAGAACTGTGGACTTATGAGTTAGCCTAAAAACGATAGTTAAAAACATGAGAGAAGATGAGCTCAGTGGAAAATATGAATAGACTGAGAAAAGAAATGGGCTGAAAATGGAATCCTGGGGAGTAACCTTTAAGGGGTATATTGGGGAAGGGGAGCCCACAAAGAAGACTGAGAAAGAATGGTCAAAAATCTGTAAGTAGAGGATGGAAGAGGATCAGAAGAACATTTTATCACAGAAGCTGAATGGTAGAGAATATCAGGCATAACCTTTACGGTTACTTTTTCTACTGGATAAAAGTCATTTATATTGTTGTTGAGTAAGAATCTCTTTGCATTGTTCTCAGATAATAATCATTGCCATTATTTGCTTTCTACAAGCCAACATCTACTTTTACAGAATTGCAAAATATCCTAATCAGTAGTAAATGGATAATCAAAGGTACACACCCCTAGAAAATCACATACTCCTTGGTGGGGTGAGTAAAAGAACACCCAGTAATCCCTTTTGACTATTTCAACGTTTCAGGTAATTTTTCATGACATCAGTAATGCAACGTGAGGTTGTTAGTGTAATAAAGGAATACTAAAAGAAAAAGTTCCTTCTATATTAAGTACATGATAATTGAATTCCTATAACATGTTTGTCTTCGTACATCATTAAGCAGTGAACCATGTACTTAATGTCCTGTGATCTTCCTCTTATTATTGCCTTGAAGCTTTTGAACCATCTATTTACTATTTTGCACATTTATCTTTCCTCCAGTATTTGATTGCAAGTTTCTTTGTCAACTTTGTATTCCTTACTTTACCTAGCATGGTGCCTTACAGTAAGAATTCAATTAATTGATTTAATGTGATGTATTTTTGGAACTAAGCTATCTGCTTAAACTATTGGTTATCTTCATGGATCAGGCCATAGGCATTAACTTGCTGCACCTGTAATGTTTAATTTTTTGTGATACTTATGTGTCGTTTAGTAACGGTACTTTTTTTTTTTATTTTGTTCTATTAGTGGTGATTTACTCAGAATAGAAGTGAAAACCCTGCATTCAATTTTAGATGAAGTTGTTTTCAAACTTTTATCAACTCCTAGTCCAGTCATAAGAAGTACTGCTACAAGGCTCCTACTGTTGATGGCTAAATCCCATCAGGAAATTTTGATTTTACTGAGACTAAGTGCCTGCTACAAAGGTAGTACATATATTCTTTCTGTTCTTGAAAGTCTCAAAAAGAACATTTTTATTGATGGTTTATGGAAAACAAAATACCTGTGTTTTTAAAAAGTCAATAATTGAAATGTGCAGATAAACTCTGTCACAGCAGATAACAGTTCAGGGAAAAAACCTTTATGTAATCCAGCTATCTTCATGTCTCAACAGGTGGCATATGGTACCTTATTGACAAGGTTACAATGAATATTTGCTCCCTCTCTGACAGAAAGGCTGTGTATTGATTATACCATATAGTGTAGTAAAATAATGACCAAAAAAAGATCAGTGATCTTACCTAACTTTACTGAGAAAATAGAGCTGTGCTTCAGAGATTGACAGCCCTTTTGATCTTTACATCAATTAATAATTACTCTTCAACTCCTATACTGCCTTTCCTCAAAGACAAACAAAAAATTTCCCTCACCTCCAAAATCAAACATATATGTGAATAAAATGTCAGAAAACTTGAGAAGGAAAGGACTCAGTGTTTTACCATTACCATGGAATAATCTTTCATTTAATTGAGCATTTACTATGTGTCAGATGACTATTCCTCATACTTTATGTGTATTAAAATATTTAATCTTCATAACAACCCTGTGAGATGTTTACTCTTATCCTCATTATATAGCAGTGGAAACAGAGGCATGGAAAAAATGTAGGTGTTTACCCAGAATTACTCAGGTAGTTTTTTTTTTTTTTCAACTGTTAATCAAAGTTATATGTTAGCTTTGTTTTATTTCTTTGCTAGCCAGAGCCATGAATCCATTACAATATATTTTCTTATTTGGTATGGTCAAGAAGTAGGTTTCTAATTGATTAAATATACTTACTAATACAGGGTTATATTATATATAAAATTTCAAGAATTAGAATATAATGTGATGCATTTAATACCAAAACTATTACAATGGCCTTTAATCATTCTTGATGATTTGGAAGGCACTTTAGTGACTTATCTTGCATGAGTCATTACTGTGAACATTGTAATTATTTTATGTATTATAGAAATAGGGAGAGAAGTGCCAGTAATAAAACTGTCTAGATGGTATTGTGCCAGATACACATTTTTTATTTCTGTAATTAGATTTCTTCTATAGAAATGTGAATGTCCAACAGTTCATTCTAAAGGAATTTTATCTTAAGCTGTCTCCCTTTCTTTTCTCAACAGTAGAACTTATTCAGTTTCCTCAAGATATTTTACAATTATTAACACTGCTGAGAACTTGAGTCTTGAAGAAAGTATGACATGGAAAGACCTGTCTAGTGGCTTCCCCAGTTGTACGCTGCAAGGCCATTTTCCCTTGCTGATGTATCTTGTGTACATACATTATAATACATCATTCCTCCTTACGCTGGAAATAGTACTTACTTTGTAACTTATATTACTACTCAGTTTTAATTTGGAATGAAAGTGCAGTATTTTAATATTATAGCACTTCTCCTATAATAAATGCTCAGGAACCTATTGATTTACCCCAAATTACATACATTACTATATATTTTTATGTAATAATAACTCCATTTAATTAGTAGTAACTAATAACCTGCTTAAGTGCTTCCACAGGACAGGCATTTACTCAGTATGTATTCATTATCTTTTTTTAAATGTTTTTGTTTAAGGTATTTATGTTCAAAAAAAAAACACAACTATATGTCTCTACCCTTTGACTTATCGCAGTGATTCCATTCTCCCTTTTTTTTTTTAATTAAAGAGGTTGACTAGATAGATTTTGCATCAGATCTCACGAGTAAGCACATAAGAACTCCAGGACAGTGGAAAATCCTAAAGACCTCAATCTAGAAGTTTTTGAGAAAAGGAAAAAGAAAAATCATGTGATTAATCTTGTTATTGTTTTCATTTGTTTCTAAACTAGACTTTTTAACCTCAAATTAATTCTGATTAGATAACAAAATCATATTTTATTATTAATAGTTGTGCCTTTGTTATTGCATTTCAGGACTCAGAAGTCTACTAAATAAACAAGAGCCTGGGACAGAGTTTAGTCAAGAACTTAGACAGCTCATTGGTCTTTTAAGCCCTAAGGTCTATCAGGAAGTAGAAGAGCAGGTATTAAATTATAAAAATAATTTGCATGATATTTACTAACATTTCAGTAAACATTTTAGTTTCAAAATATTGGATAGTGGTAGTCTCTTGAATCTTTTATTTGCTCTCTCTCCCCCTTCCTTTACTTATTTTCCCCTAACATCCAGAGCAGCCATAGTTTGATGGGAGAAGGAGTTGTTTATGGTCTAAATTTTTAACCCCAGAGCCTTTTTTTTTTAAACCTATACAAAGAGTCCCTCATACCCTTGAATCTTTGAATAAATGAAGCCAGGCATAGGAAGTGAAGCAAAGAAGTTAAAACATTAAATAAGCAAAACTATGAAATCCTTGTAATGGGAATGGAAGTGAGATTAATCAGGGACAATTTGAAGCTAACTAGACTGTATCTTGAATACATTCTAGATAATGCCTAACTGAGCTTCCTTTGGGAGATCAGGTTTAATATTCTTAGGGCTTCCCTGTCCTGGGCCTATGCAGATGTTGCCTCCTGCTCAGCTTATTAAAAATGGAGATTAATACTTGCCCAGGCCTGATATTTTAAGAAGTAAACTTCTAAAAAAGACTTTCCTAGAGATGTCTCTAAATTAATTCTGGCCTTTAATTTCAGAAACTGCATCAAGCAGCTTGCTTGATTCAAGCTTATTGGAAGGGTTTCCAGACTAGAAAGAGATTAAAGAAGCTTCCATCTGCTGTGATTACTTTGCAGAGGAGTTTCAGGTAAAAAATTTGGGTGAAAGGAATTATGATCTGAGAGGGCTAGATATATCTTATTAGAGTATAGCTGAATGAAAACTTAGAGTTTGGGGTGTTGTTTTTTTTTCTTTTTCAATATTCTAATCCGTTTCTTTCATTCTTGCTTCATACATTTCTGAGTACCAGCACTTCATTAACCAGATGTACTTTCAAAAGCAAAAGACATAATGTAAGACAGGAATGTGATGTAACAAATACACAATCCTGTTCACTTAATGAGACTTTCTTGTGGGCCAGGCCTACAGAGGGAGCCAGTAATGGTCAGTTATCTCATTAAACCCTTAAAACTAAAAGTTGCCATAATTGTTCATATGTAATTATGGTAAAAATGTGTATGAGTGCAAAAAGGTTTAAGTATGTTAACCTGATTTTCCTCAGTAAATATGGCATGGATACATATGGTCATTGAGATATGACATAGTTTGTCATTTGTTGCTATTTCAAGTAAACTAAAAATGAAATACTGAAGACATGGCCCAGTTTTTACATGACTAATCCATCCAGATTCTTAGAGGTGACAAAAAGAACACACACACACCACACACAAATGAGTTAGCTCTTAGGTCATTGTTGATAAATTAGAGCCATCTCAGAGGTGATTTCATGTAACCTAATTTAAAGCTAAATTTTAGTTCACTAAAGTGTAACTTGCATATTCCAAAAGTCAATGTTTTTTTTAAGAAAACTGAAACTATTCTTTTAATAACTGCAGCTGTGTTTCTCAGTTACAAATGTGTTTTAAAATAGTGAACTAAAATTTAGCTTTAAGTTAGGCTGCATGAGAAATCACCTCCGAGATGGCTCCACTTTATCATAAATGACCTTAGGAGCTAAGTCATTTGTGTCTGTGTGTTTTCTTTCCATTGCCTCTAAGAATCTGGATGGGTTAGTGGAAGGTATCGAAGCCACTCTGGCTGTGTCCCTTAGTGGACATGCTTTTCATTGATAAAAGTTTCCTTCAGAGAAGACTTAAAAGATAAGTTATTAATATCATTGGGCATGAGTTTTGTTGGTAACCAAAAAATCGTTAATTTTTTAAGCATGCTTCAAGTGCCTAATATATGCCAGAGGCTGTGCTAGGTATTGGGAGAGTTAAACAGACTTGAGTTTGTATCCGTCCTCAGCAACTTATGGGCTGAATGATCTTGGACAAGTTGCCCCACCTCTCTCGCCTCAAATTTCCCATCTATAAGATGGGGATAATTGTCTGTGTACCTCACAAGGTTAAAATAATAGAAAGGTTTTTTTAGCATGTTACTGGGCACTTAGAGGAAAATGCATATGGCACACTTTTTGCCCTTGAAGATTTACAAATCTAGTTAGACAGGCAGATCTGTTAAGTAAATAGTACTCATTAGAAGCAAGTATAATCCATTCCAGCATTGCTCAGAGTTTGTCTATCCTACTAGCTATTTCTTTAAAAATATTTAAAAAGTTATTTCTTTGGTTAAATAAGTTTGGGAAATGATGAATATTTTGAGAGTCACACCGTATATTCTTCTAGTCAAGAGTCTGAGATGTTCTTGGTATAGCCTTACCTTTGTAGTGAACTCAGAGTAGCTATCCCTTACGGATCTTCCTGCTACCATTCTCAGCTATGTATCTTACATTTAAAGGTGCCCCTATGCCATGGATTCAGACCTTTAATGTTTAGTCTTACAGTAGTTGCCAAATTTGCCAGTTTACTTTTCTTTGCAATATTAAAATCTTTACTTAAAAGCATCCTAGGATTAAAGATTTTGTCCACTTAGAGGGGTATCTGTGGAATGTAATTAAGATTCCACTATTTTAAAATAGAAATTCCATTGCTTTATGTAACAACACCAGACCAGTTATAAATATATCCATTATAAGACATCAGCCATGAAGCCAAAATTATTTAAATCTCACATTATAATGAGTTTTTAGTTTTTTAATCTCCAGTTTGCTCCAGGCTTCAGCACCTTTCCTCTTCTATTAGTTGCAGCAACAGTTTATGCAAATTTCTTTTACTTCCTTTGTAGCTGGGCTTTCTGCCAAGGTTATTTCTGTCTCTTTGTGGTCAGGTTATTATCTCAGAGTAGTTTCCCTCCCATGTTTTTTGGGGGGAGGGACTGCCCACCACTCACAGTTATGGACCTAGATTCATCAGAGCTTCGGATTCAACAAGAGGTACTCTTTTATAGTCACACCCTTGCTAAAGCACTTTCTTGGGGGTTTCTTCTTTATTTAATCACTTTTCATGGTCAGAAACTTTGTTTTCTGTTAAGTACCCTTTTCCTCAGCAAGGTTTACTGAAGCAGCTAACAGCTGCCTCACAAGCAGGAAAGCTCACAATTTACCTTCCTCTATCATGGTGCTGATACTTAGGTATTTTAATTTTATTTGTTTGACTTTGTAGGGGAAGAAAACAGTTTTTACCTCTATACATTTTAGGTTCGTTGGTTGGGGCCCTGAAAATTATACTGACAAAAACAAAAACAGATTAACAAGAGAAAAACAGTTTCTTAACATGTGTAGCACACGTCACATGGAAGAAACCTGACATGATGCATAACTCAAAGGGGTGGTTAGAATTTGGTCTTATATAGCTCTCGCCCTCTGAGATGGCCCACACTCTGTGGAGTGTGTTTCTCCCAGGGCCGTTCTCGCCTTTTGAGACAGACCACATTTTGTCTATGGAACATGTATTTCTCTAAATAAATCCACTTCTTACCTTAAAAAAAATTGGGGCCTATATAGATGTTAACAAAGAATAATTTATAGAGAAGTGACAGGTGAAAAGAAAAGGATTTTAGGCTTCTGAGGGCAACAAACTGTGGGAAGGTAAGTATATTGGGGAAGGTAAATATATTGGGGAACTTATGGAAGATATGGGTTATTTGTGCAGTTCCATCTCTATGGCCATAAAACTTCCTTGGGAGGGGAAATTTATGGCAGTCCTCATTTCTCAGCTGTTTCTGCTTTTATTCAGTTAAGAGATCCTCTGGGAAGGCTTCTTTCTGTGTTTCCTGATTCTCATTTGCCTCCACCTCAAAAAGATCTTTATGCCAGAGTGGCATATTCCACTACCCTTCAACTTCCCCCTTGAAACCGAGCTTAAGGGCATAACTCTATCTCCTCTTTGTCTGCCTTAGGGACAGTGATTGCTTCTTTGAAATTTTTATTTTTTCATAGTGTATAGAATTCTGTCCAGTGAATGAACCAATATTTATTTATATAACTCACTATTGTAGGACATATGGTTTGTTTTCAACTTGTTACTGTTGTAATGCTATGGAGAACATCCTTTAACATAAGTCTTTACATACGTATTGGATTTTTCCTTATGAAAATAATTAGAAATGGAATTAATTGGTTAACATTTTTAAGGCTTTTGATACATATTTTAAGTATTTCTTCAGAAATATTTTGATGCATGTATCCAAAATATTTCTTCAGAAAGGTTGTAGAGCAGCACATGAAAACTTATTTCATCATACTCTAACTACACTAGGAATTATCTTTGAAATTTTTTTTGCTGTCTGTATTTATATGATTACTAGTGAGGTTAAGCCGTTTTTCATAAATACTTCTTGAGTGGACATATAATTATGAAAATTGTGTGTACTTAATGTTTCCATCACAGATCTAAGCGAACAAAGATGTTACTGAAGCTAAGTAGACATGAAAACTTATTTCATCATACTCTAACTACACTAGGAATTATCTTTGAAATTTTTTTTGCTGTCTGTATTTATATGATTACTAGTGAGGTTAAGCCGTTTTTCATAAATACTTCTTGAGTGGACATATAATTATGAAAATTGTGTGTACTTAATGTTTCCATCACAGATCTAAGCGAACAAAGATGTTACTGAAGCTAAGTAGACAGAAGGAAGAAGAGGACTGCAGATTACAACTGCAACTTCAAAGGCAGAGAGCCATGAGACTTTCCCGAGAATTACGGCTGAGTATGCTTGAAATAGTTCATCCAGGTGTGTGGCAGTATCAATTTTATAAGTGTAATTAAGACTGATTAGGATATCTTTTAATAAACCAAATTTCCCAGCTACCTGATGATTTATTTTTTTAAATGTGGACCTTTTCCCTGTTTCTCCTTTTTCAGATAAATCTTATTAAATCTCTTGAGTCAAAAAAAGTAACTATTTTTTTTTGATTAAGGCCTATTAGTTTATGATGAGCAATCTCTCCAGTAATTTTTCTTTTCTTTCAGATAAATTAGTGAAACAAAATTTTATGCTTAAAGATATCTGTCTTTGACATAAAGAAAGAACCCCCTTGAACTTAAGTAAGGTGTTAGAATATTGCTACATTCTGCCCTCAGAACTCAGTACAAACCTTGTGACACCTCTTGCCACTTTCGACACACTAAGCTGAAATTAATATTAAAGTGTAGTCTGGGAGATCTGAGTCATTTCAAGATTCCTTTTTAGTTCTACTCCTTCCCCCTTCTACTACTCATTCCCAGTATCCTTCACTAGCCTCATATTTCTCTTTCTTTCCCTTAAATACAGATGTTTCCCAGGGTTCCATCCTTACCCCATTATTTTCATGTTGCTCTTCCTGAGGTATCCCATCCATAACTGCAGCTTCAACTACCAACTTGAGTGCTTAGCACTCTGGAATCTTGTCTGCATCCTCACCCTCTCTCCTAAGCTCTAGACCAGCCCTGCCCAGTAGAACTTTATACAAAATGAAGTGTTCTATATCTTTACAGTACCAATGGCTAGAGGTAGCTGTTGGCTTGAAATGTGGCTAGTGCACTTGAGGATCTAAAATTTTATTTTACTTTCTTTAAATTTATGTAACCAGTTGTGGCTAGTGCCTACTACATTGGACAACACAGCCCTGTAGCCAGCTGCCTATTGGTTAGCTTTACTTAGATATCCACAAGCATCCTCAAAACTAGTCATTATCTTCCCTCACTGATTTCCTCTTCCTGTATTCCTCATCTCTCAGGTAATTGCACCAACAGTCTACTCAGTGTCCCATCTATGAGACATCCTAGAATTTTTTCCCTCCCTCCACATCTAGTTCACCACTAAATCCTATCAATTTTTGGTACTGTCTCTCAAATATATCCCTTTTTATTTTTACCTTCCACCTTATTCTGTCACTTAGCTACTGTGAACCCTAGACTGTATGCTAACTCCCAGAAAGTAAAAAGAAAGTCATCTGTAGAACTGAGTGACTAAAGAGAAATTTAGAACCACGCAGAGTAGGTAACATATATACACAATGTGCTTTTCCCTTTTGGTAGTACTGAATGACTTTCTAACTATTTACTTGTGATTCTTTTTTCTAAATGTTCTTGCTATCTTGGATTTTTAGCCCTTTTCTCATTCCTCTGAGACAAAAAAAACGATATGAGTCTTTTCCAAAGAAGATGCATAATCTGAGAAAGCTTTTGGAGCGCTTTGTTTCTAAAATCTTATAACCATTGTAAAATAATAGAATTGGGAAAATCAATATTGAAAAAAACAAAAGGACTGCAAGATTGTTGGTACTTTCATTGTCCTGATTATAAAACTTGAGAAAGCATAGAAGTGAGTATGTTGTAATAGTGTTTGTTATCTTTTTAGGTCAGGTGGAAAAACATAATCGGGAAATAGAAGAGAAATCAGCATTGATTATCCAGAAACATTGGAGAGGGTACAGGGAAAGGAAGAATTTTCGCCAACAGAGGCCATCTCTTGTGGAGTATAAAGCAGCTGTCACACTTCAAAGAGCAGTGAGTCTGAGTTAGTAAAAAGAGTACTGGATTAGGAGGCAAAGACATGGGTTCAAATCTGACTTTCCTGTTTATCTGCTGTAAAGTCTTGGTCAAGTCACTTAGCTTTTCTGAGCCTTAGTTTCTTAAAATGAGAACATCCTTATCACTGGCCAAAATGATTTAGACATTCAGTCCTTAGTATTTCCATAGACCCTTGTACATCATTTACCAAAATGCAGTGTTATTTGTTAATTTTTTCTTTCTTACTTGAGCAATGAGAATCTCAAGGGTAAGGAACGAAGTCTTATTTATTGTCAGCTTCCTGCATGTGCTTGACATATGAATGACTGTCTGCCCTATCTTTTTCACTCAGTTGTTATGTGGATCAGATGATAATAATTTATGGGAAAGTATTTTGTCAGTTGTAAAGTCCTGCGTAGGAGCAGCTTATCATATTAGATGTTTTTTAATGCACAGATAATACATTAGGTATAATTAGATCATTATAATTCTTGAATTATAGAATGGTGTTCTTAAATCATGATCTTCCTGGGATTTATCTGGAGCATAGTAATATTTTATTGCCTTGGAAAAGCATAGTACAAGGCTGTCTATTTCACTTAATGACCAGTTTTCCTAATATCTAGTTATTATACATAGTTAACGTTCATATTAGGATTTCAGATCATGTAGCATTTAGTTTTATTGTTATTGTTATTGTTAAACTTATTTATTGTTTATTGTTATTGTTAAACTTTAGGTCAATTTATTGACCTAAATCCCTTTTTGTTAAACTTTGTTTGTTTGTTAATCCCTATTGTTAAATCCCTTATTGTTAAACTTTAGGTCAATTTCAGTTTTTCACAGTGATAGATTTTGAACAGTCTCCTTATTGATTTCTCTGATTAAGCTTTTACAAAGATTTTTTTAAACCACTTAAAAAACAGAGTAAATACTAGGGAAATAGGAAGAGATGTCTGCTGCCTCCATCTTTCTCAGGCTCTTTTGGGGATTTTAGGCCATGTGTGCAACAAACAGTCCTGCACCATCACTGAATCACACCCACATCTGCTGTTTACCCTCTGCTAAGCAATGCCATCTAAGGATTAACCCATGGACCTATGGATATCAGTGCCTTGGGTCCTTTCTAATACCTTTACCTCGTGGCTACCGACTTTTTTTTGGCTGGGCTCCATGGCAGCATGCAGGATCTTAGTTCCCCCACCAGGAATGGAATCTGTGTCCCCTGCAGTGGTGCAGTGGAAGCACGGAGTCTTAATTACATGTGGAAATGCTAATATTTTACATATATTGAGTTATGCTTATGTAACTCAGTACGTGCAAAATATTAATTTCACCTGTTTTTACCTTTTTATTCTGCCTCCCAGAAAATTAAAAATTACATATTTGACTCATTTTATATTTCTATTAGCACTGCAGATGACCTTGATAACAAAGAAAAGGAAATAATTATCAATTTCACAGAAGGAAGTTGGAATATCATTTCATTGAACTTATCCCTCAGGAGGAACTGGTTATTAGTGTCCTTGGCAGACAAAGGCCAGAACTGTTGTTTACCTTCTGTCCCTCACTTTGCTAAAAGAGAGGCATTGTTTTTCAGATAGATAAAAATCAAGAAAACCTTATGTACACCTGCTAATTTCAAATTACACATCCTTACGTAAACAAGTTGGAGTTCTATGTAGTGGTATAGTATTAGAATTAAATTTGAAGAATTAGCTGTCTTTTCCTTTTTAATGTTCCAGGATTTTCTTTTCTTGCTTTTTCATCTGTTAAGCTCAGAAGGAGCCCCCAAGCACACTGGAGTACCGGGTACCCATGGGGCCAGGCGGGGCCGGTGCCGTCGATCATTTAGCAGGACCCCACCCTCCCCGGCCAGCTTTAGACTCCCAGGGGAGTCTCCAAGGGAGATGGCCAGGGATGCTTAAATGGTCCTCTGCAATTTGGTGCAAGTGGCAAATGACTTTTCTTTCTGCAGAGCACTGCAATCTGCTAAGCCTCAGCATGCTCGCATTTTAGCCTTTATATGGCATCCTGCAAGGTTACCCTCAGTGCTTAGCTGGGAGCAGTCAGAAGGGGTTGGAGCATGGGTCCGCAGAAGCATTGGCTGACCTTAGTTTAAAAATCTGGATCCATTTTTACTGTTTGATGAATTTAAAGGCGGTAGACCAGGTGGATTTCCTGATCACCCACACTGAGGTTTTGAAACAGTGTATTACCTCCTGGAAGGGGGTTATCATGGCCAGCGAAGAGTTCTGTGGACATGCTGGTCAGTTGAACACAGGAGACCTGCAGTGGATGACCATGGGCTGGGGCATTGTGCAGAGATGCCTTGCTCGGAGGAGTCAGTCCATGGCCTACAGCTGTGGGTTAATTTGAGGAGCTCACAGAAGATGGTGGAGCCTCGGTACCAGGAAGTAAAAAGCAGCAAAATCCCTAAACCCGTAAGGATGGTGTTACTGTTGCTGTCATTTCTGGAGAAGCCCTGGGAATCAAGTCCAAGATTTACACTTACACACCAACTTTATATTTGGACTTAAGATTGGACCAAGGAGCAAAGCATTCCCAGCCTATTCCTAAAGGGTGATCAAGCTTCATTTATACCATATCTGGAAACGTGCATATTGGACCTAACACCCAACAAAAGATAGAACCTCATCACACAGCTGTGCTGGGGGAAGGTGACAGTGTCCAGGTGGAGAACAAGGATCCTGAGAGAAGCCACTTTGTCCTAATTCCTGGGGAGCCATTAAGAGAACCAGTTGTTGGGCTTCCCTGGTGGTGCAGTGGTTGAGAGTCTGCCTGCCGATGCAGGGGACATGGGTTCGTGCCCTGGTCTGGAAAGATCCCACATGCCGCGGAGCGGCTGCACCCATGAGCCATGGCCGCTGAGCCTGCGCGTCCGGAGCCTGTTGCTCTGCAAGGGGAGAGGCCACAACAGTGAGAGGCCCGCGTTCCACAAAAAAAAAAAAAGAAAAAGAAAGAAAGAGAACCAGTTGTTGGGACTCCCCTGGTAGCGAGTGGTTAAGAATCCACCTGCCAAGGCAGGGGACATGGGTTCGATCCCTGGTCCGGGAAGATCCCACATGCCGTGCAGCAACAAAGCCCTTGCGCCACAGCTACTGAGCCTGTGCTGTAGAGCCTGTGAGCCACAACTCCTGAAGCCCGCGTGTCTAGAGCCCGTGCTTTGCAACAAGAGAAGCCACCGCAATGAGAAGCCTGTGCACAACTAGAGAAAGCCCGTGCACAGCAATGAAGAAGACCCAGCGCAACCAAAAATAAATTAATTAAATAAATAAATTTTAAAAGAGAGAGAGAAACAGTTCAACATGGAGAAGTGTGCTGACCCCTAAAGAATCCAAAATGTGATTCTTTCTTGACTTGAAATTTTTGTAATCTTTTGTTATTGTCAATGAGGTGCTACTAGTTTTCAAAAATGACTTAGACCCCTCATGTAAGGACACAGCCTCATATACTGCAGACACCAAAACTATGACAAGATTTGCCAATTTTTTTTTATCAGATCAGTTCAGTTCTTGACATCAGCCAATGCTATTTAACTGACAACTACAGTAAATCTTTTTTTTTTTGGCGGTACATGGGCCTCTCACTGTTGTGGCCTCTCCCGTTGTGGGACGCGCAGGCTCAGCGGCCATGGCTCAAGGTCCCAGCCGCTCCACGGCATTTGGGATCCTCCCAGACCGGGGCATGAACCTGTGTCCCCTGCATCAGCAGGCAGACTCTCAACCACTGCGCCACCAGGGAAGCCCCAGTAAATCCTTAAAGTTCTCATCACAAGAAAAAAAAAAATTCTCTAACTACGTATGGTGACAGATGTTAACTAGACTTTTTGTGACAATCATTTCCCAATATATACAAATATCGAATCATTATGTTGGACACCTGAAACTAATATAATATTGTATGTCAATTATACCTCAATTAAAAAAATAAAGAAGGTAAAAAGAACTAAAACTACAAAAATGGTCATGATAGAACCAAACCTAAGAATGTTTTTAATAAAGAGATTGCCATTGCTGATGACAGCCTGCAATGGATGAGTGAGGTCTAATTGCATATGTTTATCTGAAGTTTGGTCTTTATAATCATACACAATCCTAAAAACCTGTTTTACCATCCTCGAGGATCTGATGCTGGGAAAATAACCGTTTGCTATTCAGATATGCCTGAGTTTGTTTCAAATTAAGAACTACAGAAATATGCACCATTTTAGTGGTAGAAGAAAATATTCTCGTCACCCAGAACTTTCTGAATGTCTCTTTTTACTCTAGGTTCATTTTTGATGCACACAAATGAAGAGATTTCTCAGGCCATTCTTGATTTCAGAAATGTGAAAAATGGCTTTGAAAGAGCCAAAACCTGGAAATCAAAGACTGGAAACTAGTGACAAGCACAAGGGCAGGTCTGGCTGCCTTCTAGAATTTTCCATTTGTGGCATCCACCAGTTCAGTGCATCCAGTTTCCAAAGCTGACTTTGCCAATGCTTCTAAAGAATTCCACACTAAAGTGATAAACATGGTTTTTATAGCAATGTATGTGAGATATTTCCTGGCACAAGCAAATAAACCTAATTGTTCCTTCTTAAAAAAAAAAAAAAAAAGAAGCAGCAGCAGCTCAGAAAGAAGGTGATGTTTGCTGGCGTCTGCTCTCTAGAGCCAGAATGATAGCTAATTCTTGCTACTTGATTATAGCTAAACAGTATCAAATATACATATCTATTAAAGACCAACAACAAAAGTACTTACTGAAACAAACCAGTTGAAAAAATAAACATTGGGAGATAAATACAATTTCAGAGAGTTCTAAAATGACAAAGAATGAGGAAAAGAGACAGAGATGTCAAGGTGGACTTTTCTGATCTAAGGGCAAAAATTCCTCTGTTCTGGAAACTTTACTCTGAGTTCCCAGAGTAGCATCATAAGCCTGGCTTCATACTAAAAGCAGGAAGTAGAGGAAAGATAGAAGGAGAAGCAAGGAAGAAAAATCAAGAAAAGGGAAGAATAGAAGAAAAGGAGAAAATCTCTCAATAGGAGAATGTAAGCGCAGTTGAAGGCTCAAGTACTATAGTAAAAACAAGGGTATTAAGGAAATCTTTATACTGAATGTGAAAACCTCCAAGCCCTTTTTTCTTCTCAGGTCTCAGTGCTGTCAGCCAGGCTTGTATCCTGTAAACAGTAGGTTGAAAACATTTTCTTTAGGAAATCTGAACAGCCCAAGGGAATAGTTATACATGTACTCACAATGAGGTACTCCAATGAAACAGCCCAGTTCAGTAGCCCTATAAAGAAGTACAGAATAGATAAACCCTACCCATCTGCTCAGCATTTCTAAACAGCTTTTTAGTGCCCACTCTTAAATATCAGCTGAAAGTATCACTGGACGTCTGCAGGAAGCTAAGGCCAAAACAAATAGAATAAAACTACTTGGTGGAAATAGAGATATTGCAGGGATAAGAAAACTTTTTAAATGTATTATTTTCTCCGAGAGCTAAAAGAAAATAATACATGAAACAAAAACCAAGACGCTGGATAACAGGGAACAAATGGAATAAAATTTGATAGAAAAAAAAAAGACATAATAAAAGGGCTAGAAAAAAAGGTTTGGGAAATCTAGAGAGCAGGGCAAAAAGAAACCAGAACCAGTCTAGGAGGTCAAACATTTGAAACAAAGAAAAAAAAAAACTGGAGGAGAAGAAATCAAATAATTTAAGATTTCTCAGAATTGAATATCATGTGGTTTAGATTAAAAAGACTGAATGTCCAATACAATGACAAAAATACACTCACATCTATTTCACATTATTGTGAAATACACTGGGGCGAAAAGTACTCCTCAACAGCATTATTGGAAGCTAAAAGATATTGGAGTAAGGCTGTCAAATGTTTGAGGGAAAATGATTTCCAACTAGAATTCTACATCCAACTAAACCATCAGTTAAAGGTAAAGATACACTAAAGACATTTTTATGCATCACAAAGTCTCTGAAACAAAGGAATAACCCAAGAAAGGACAACATGGAATCCAGGAAACACAAAGGAAAGATGAAAAGAGTCACCAAGATGATGGGGAATGGGAGATCTCGGGATGACAGCTATGCACCAAGCATAGGGAATAATCTATCCAGATTGGAACAAGTCAGAAAGCTCCAGAATATGTGTATCTAAGGAAATTAATTTGATAGATTGCCTGATGTGTTTTAATGTATGAACAGTTAGGGCAGAAATTGTGATAATCAGTGATAAATATATAGAAAAATAAGCACAGGAAAATAATAGAGTTATTAATTCCAGTGAAAATAAAAATATGCAAGGAAGAAAAAGTAATCATCACTACATGGTTGAAAAATGAATAGCCTTTATGTAGTCATAATAATGTAACACTGAACATTAACTAAAATTATGATTTAATAATATTGGATATTTGGAGATATGGAAAGTATGTGTGAAAGAGAGCTAAGTCCTTATCTTTCATACAAGAAAGTCAATAGATAATACCTATCACTGAAAAAAATCACAAAAATGTAGATGGAGATAAACATCAGAAGAAAAACCTGAAAGAACTAAAGTTGCTGTCTTTGGGGGAGAGGTTTTTAACAATTCTTCTAAAACTGACACTTTAAACAATAGTTATATCAACAAACTTTTTGGAAAGCATCAAATAGTAAAATATTTTAGGTTTTGCAGGTCATACAGTTTCTTGGAACTATTCGACTCTACAGTTGTAGCCCAAAGGAAGCTGTGGATAGTATGTAAACAAATGAGCATGACTCTTGTTTCAATAAACATTTGTAGACACTGAATTTTGAATTTCACATAATTTTCACATGTCATGAATTAATTCTTTTCCTTTTGAACTTGGTAATCATATAAAATGTAAAAAACCATTTTTCAGCTGTTCAAAAACAGGCAGCAGGCTGGATTGACCTGTGGGCCATAATTTGCCAACCATTGCCTTAAGCAATGTGAACATATAACTTTGATGAAAATAAAAACTACAAAGAAGGGAGAAGAGTGAAAAAAAATTGGGCAGAATAATTTCAGATGTGTCTCCACATCTTGCCTGTTAAAAGATTTCTTACCAGGAATTCATTCTGAAGGACAGGAGAAAGCACATTCATTTACCAAGCTTTTTCTTGTATACCTTCTCCTTGATCTTTACAATCCTTTGGCTAAGTACAATTGGGATCCCTGTTTTCTGTAGACATAGAACCTATCCTATAGAGATTGAATGACTTGCCCCAAATCAAACAGTTTTATAAGGGACTAGAATTAAGACTAGAACCCAAAGCTGATTTCCCTTTTTTTTTTCTTTATTGCCTTCTGTACAAATAATACATGAATATATCCTTGTAAAATATTAAAACACTACAGAAGAATATAACGATAAAGTTATTGTCCTCTGTCACCCCAGTCACAATCCTATCTTTCTCCCCATACATAAAAGGGTTAACAGCTGTTGTCACTATCATATGTTTTTGTAGGAAGGAAATAGTTCTGTTAGGGAAGAAAAAAAATCACAAATCTTTTTTTTTTGTCCCAGACTCTTAAATTCCTAGCAAAGTGCCGTAAGAAAAAGAAACTATTTGCTCCTTGGCAAGGACTCAGAGAACTCACTGATGCACGCAGAGTTGAACTGAAGCAACAAGTGGATGACTATATCAGAAGACATCCAGTATGTAGGCTTTTGTGCCATGGTACCAGTGTTACATTATTGCAGTGGGTGATATTCACCAACAAATAAGTGTCTCAGCTGTATATGTACATTTATTTTTGGCATAAGGTAATGCAGTTGCTTTACCGTAGTCAATGGATTTGGCGTCTTCTTATAATTATGTGGACCATATAAGTAAAGTCAATAGTAAAGGAGACTTCACTTCAAATTAGTGGTTTTGTGTACTGCATCAGCAAGACTTCTTCACATCCTCACCAACATTTATTATTTTCACATCTTAATGAATGTGAAATGGTATTGTGATTTGGATTTGCATTCTCTAATAATTAGTGATTTTGAACATCTTTTCATATGTTTATTGGCTATTTGTATATCTTTTTTGGAGAAATTTCAGTTCAAGTCCTTTGCTCATTTTTTAATCAGGTCATTTGTTTTTGTGTTGTTGAGTTTTAGAAGTTCTCTGTATATTCTGGATATTAATCCCTTATCAGATGTATGATTTACAAACATTTTTTTCCATTCTGTGGGCTGCCTTTTTACTGTTGATAGTGTCCTTTGATACACAAAACTTTTTCATTTTGATGAAGTACAGTTTGTCTGGTTTTTTGTTGTCTGTGCCTTCAGTGTCATATTTAAGAAATCATTGCCAAATCTAATATCATGAAGCTTTTCCTCTGTCTTTTCTTCTAAGGGTTTTATAGTTTTAGTCCTTATGTTTAGGTCTTTGATCTCTATTTTTTTTTAATGCACTGTGTGTGATTGTGATGCATTCTCCTGTTAAAAAAAGAAGTGCTGCTTTAGCCATACTCTAGTACACCTGTTACTCTGTGGCTGAAAAGTAAGGTGCTAGCTGGAACAGGGCTGTATCCAAGATCCATGAACTGGAATATTTGAGAAAGCTGGGGTGTCAGAAGCTCTGTCAGCTTCAATGTTGAGATTATTTCATCCTTGTCCAAACTAATTAGGTAAGTTCCTTTTAAAGTAGCTGACTAGACAAAAGAATATGGTCCTTTGAATGATTTTGTCCCTTGTTCTGTGAAATTAGAAGCCGTTATAACATTATGGCTTAGATAAGTTTGGGAGTGGGGATAGGACTAGAAGTTAGGTAGTCTTACCAGGTGGGGCTAGAACAAAAGGATTGGTCTTGTTACTCCTCTTCCAGGCCAGTATCTTTACCAAACCATTTGTAATTTTCACTATGATTTCTCAATCTTATCTCTTCTCCCAGAATACCATACTATGTGAGGAAGTGAGGTATAGGAGCATACCAAAAAGAATCTGGCCCACCTGCATTTTCATTTAAAGCTGCTTTTAAGAGGCTATTTAATGCTTGCTCAAGAGTACAAGGTAGATATCAACCATAACATTCAATTGATGAGAGACAGCTAAGCATTCTAGAACCTCTACTAAGTGGTTAAGTGAAACATACTTTGATATATGTGTCCTTCATGTGACACTTTTTTTGTCCTTTGTTCCCAGGGCTCTGAGGTATCAGATGTGATCAGCAGGGAGCTCCATTCCCAAGCACAAGAACGACTGCAACACTACTTCATGGGCAGGGCTCTAGAAGAGAGAGCCCAACAGCACAGGGAGGCACTGATGGCTCGGATCAGCACCAACATCGAACAGTTGATGAGTATGTGCTCATTCCATTTTTGCTTCCTAAAAGGAACAGCCTATGTAAGATTTTGTGACATCTAGATCTTCAGAAGGAAAACACCATTTAGTGGTCTATTAACCCATCTCCTATCCTCAGAAATTTCTCCTTCTAGATCATATCACCACACAATGATTTCAAATGATGCAGACCCCATAACCTTCTTGACTGCTTCCCTCAGCCTTGTGATCATTGATATGTGTCAACTCAGAAAAGTTATTAATTATAAAGATGCTGAGCCCTACTAGCCAGATTCTGTTATATAGTATGAAAAGCTTTTTGAACATATTTTAAAAGTAGATGATGAGAGTGGTTATGGTGGCACTTTAATGAAGTGTTTTCACAAAAATTAATTCATCTGCTTCTCACAACCACTGGTGCATTTAATGAGAGATCCCATCCACGAAGCCAGTGTCTCAGATGGCCTCTGAAACACTTTTAGTATTTGTGGAGCAAAAAGGGCCAGGGTCCTCTCTTTAGTGCCATTACTTGCAAATTTTGTGTTTTTGAATGGATAGGTGGCTGGAACTGAGCCTCTCATCTGTAAGGATTCTGCTATTATATTAAAAGTTCCTGCTCTTTTAAATAAACCATCTAAAAAAATCTACCTCTTTCTTTTATTCTTTCCCTTTAAACACAGAAGCATGGGCTACAACTTGTGAATAGTCACATGCCATCTACAGCTGACAATAATAATAGACTCAGAGTTGGAACCTTGTTTTTGCCTGCTATTGCAGAGTTCCAACACTGTAGTTTCCAAGTTCCTGTTTGTTTGGTACAGAACTCTTCCACTCACCTTTTTATTTTCTGTTTACTACAGAAGCACCAAGTCTGAAGGAGGCAGAAGGAAAAGAACCTGAGCTCTTCCTAAGCAGATCCAGGCCTGTGGCAGCCAAGGCCAAGCAGGCCCATCTTACCACCCTGAAGCATATACAAGCACCCTGGTGGAAGAAGCTTGGGGAAGAGGCAAGAGATGAGATTGATGTCCCAAAGGATGAACTTAGTATAGAATTAGGAACTTTATTCATTGGTGGAACCAAACCCCCTTAAGGGAGTTACCTGGAGGAATGACAAATTATATTTCTAGAGATTATATGGGTTCTGCCTCTGACATGCTAGTAGACTAGCATTATCCTAACTCATGGTTTTCCAGAGGTTCCTCTCCAAACAAGACTTGAAGGCAGTAAGCAGAGTTATCTTCTACCTTGATTTCAGTTCTTTTTCTTTATCCATACTTCCATCCTTGGCCACACATAAAAATTGGTATGACTTTTATTATGGAACTAAACTCAGCATTGTATTCTATTGCATATATGAAATGTGATATTTCTATTTTTGTTTCTGCTGTTTTCCAACTAAAGGTGTTTTCTAAATATTTTCAACAACTGTTCTGAAAAACTTGTCAGGGTTACTTCAGCTTTTCACACTTATTGATTTTTCTATTAATATAGGAAATGTGCTCTTGGCATTTATTATGGTGAGGAAAAGAAGTGGTCATTTGAAAGACATTTGACTATTTTCGACCAAACAGTGTTTGAACTCAATTTGTATCTTGTTATTTCTAAGAGGAACTACATTAAAAAGTCCTCCTAGGATTCAGTGCAAGAAAAATTTCTCCTGATAAAATTGCATTCTTTGTATTAAACTAAGAGAACTATATAACACACTATTTGCATTTTGATTTGTCTCTTAGGAATCTCAGAGCTAAAACAATGCTTACTTTCTGTTACGATTCTCAATACCTACATGATTATTTGGTTCCAATCTAATAATTTCTGATTTTCCTGTTTATCTTTAACTGTGGTTTAATACCAGAAGCCACCTCTATGTTTGTGCTAATATGGAATTTAAGTTAAAATCAATTAAATCATTGACTCTATATCATAAGGAACCCGGAGTGTGCTTTTTCTATAAATGAGTAGGAAAACCAGTATTTCTGGATAAGAAGACCAAATACTATAATGTTGTTCATCCCACCAAAGTTAGTTTAGTAAAATTCTAGTCAAGATTCTAATGTAATTGTTATTCATAATTGAAAATGAATAAAATTCATTTGTAAGAATAAGGAGATGAGAGTTCTGATTTCACTTAGAATGTAAAAATCTCCATGAGAATGTTTCTTCCATCTTAACAAAAAAAATGCCAGGTAATCTATAAAAATCATTTTTCTTGAGCCTATCAGATAGTTGAGACCTCAAGATAACCAAGTAAATTGATGGGACTCAGTATCTGTGAAATAAACCATTTCATCTCTTTTTTTTTTTTTTTTTGACTGCATTGGGTCTTCGTTGCTCCACGTGGGCTTTCTCTAGTTGCGGCGAGCGGGGGGCTACTGTTAGTTGCGGTGCATGGGCTTCTTATTTCAGTGGCTTCTCTTGTTGCCGAGCATGGGCTCTAGGCACGCAGGCTTCAGTAGTTGTGGCATGCGGGCTCAGCAGTTGTGGCACACGGGCTTTGTTGCTCCACCGTATGTGGGATCTTCCAGTACCAGGGCTCGAACCCATGTCCCTTTCATTGGCAGGCGGATTGTTAACCACTGCACCACCAGGGAAGTCCCCCATTTCATCTTTAGTAGAGCACAAGAGTCAAAGGTGGCTGGATAGGAAGAAATCAACTAAAATGTTAACAAATTCTTAGGAGTCCTAGGTGGTGCAGTGGATAAGGCTGCACTTCCAGTGCAGGGGTCCTGGGTTCGATCCCTGGTCAGGGAACTTTATCCCACGTGCATGCCGCAACTAAGAGCTTGCATGCCACAACTAAGGAGCCCACGTGCTGCAACTAAGGAGCTGGCTAGCCAGAACTAAGGAGCCCGCCTGCTGCAACTGAGACCTGGTGCAACCAAATAAATAAATACATGTTTTAAAAGCAAAACAAAAAAAATTCTTAAAGGCCAAGTGTGGGTAGCATGTCAGTTTAGAATATCTAGGGACTTCCAAAGGAGAAGTTAGACCTTTACCAAACACAAACAAGAAAGTTTGGGAGCAGGGCAGGAGACCTGCAGAGATGCCTTTAGTGGCACAGGCAAACATGAAGTGATAGGCTGCTATTGGGTGACATGCCCAAAGACTCACCTGCTTTCCCAAACCCTTCTCTTAAAAGTCTTAAGCTGCTAGAGCAGGGGCAGCAAGCCCTCTTACCTCCAAGGCTCAGAGAAAATTCCATTGCGCTTAAGGAAGGAACAGAAACAAAACCTAGCTGTCTGTGTGGGGGCGGGGGGGGGGGCGGCGTGTGGGGTAGCGAACAGTCTAGCCCCAGATACAAGTAGAGATCCAGTGTTGCTGAGGGCAGGATAGAAATAAAAACCCTCTCTCCTGGGAGGGAGGCAGGAAATGATTTTGGGCCCAGAAATCCTACACCAATACAAAGCAGATGTCTGCTAATGCTAATGATTGCTACTGAACTTTAATGATTAAATATTGAAGACTTTATTCATCTTATAACAAAGTTTGTACCCTTTAACCAGCATCTCCCCATTTCCCCCACCTAGCCCCTGGGAACTACCATTCTACCTTATGTTTCTGAGTTTGACCTTTTTTTTTTTTTTTTTTTTTTTTTAAGATTCCACATAACAAGTGATGTCATATAGTTTTTCTCTGTCTGGCTTATTTCACTTAGCACAATATCCTCCAGGCTCATCCTTGTCACAAATGCAGGATTTCCTTTCTTCTCATGACCAAATAGTATTATATATTTATATTTTCTGACATCTTCTGTGTCTATTCATCCATTAACACTTAGATTGTTTTCATATGTTGAAGATTGTGAATAATGCTGCAATGATGTCTCTGAGATACTGATTTCATTTCCTGCATTACCCTGAAGGGGGCTTGCTGGATTACATGGTAGTTCTATTTTTGGTGTTTTTTTTTTTTTTTTTTTAGGAACCTCTATACTCTTCCATCATGGCTGTACCAATTTACACTCCAACCAACAGTGTACAAGGGTTTCCTTTTCTCCAATTCTTGCCAACACTTGTTATCTCTTGTTTTTTTTTTAATAAAAGACATCTTAACAGGTGTGAGGTGATATCTCATTGTGGTTTTGATTTGCATTTCCCTGATGATTAGTGATGCTGAGTACCTTTTCATGTACTTTTTGGCTGTGTGTGATATAATATTATCCACTGGAGTTAATGCAAACTCCAAAGTTGAGGTCATAGTCCCCAACAAAATTCCCTCATAAGTTTAGATATACCCAGACTGCCCACACTTCTGACCAACTTACCACAAATTTGGGGGTTCCCGCAAACCTATCAGGTTTGATAATTCTCTAGGATAAACCAGAGAACTCAGGTAACATTATACTTATGACTAGTTTTGCTGTAATGATACAAATAAGGTTTAGCCAAGTAAAGAACACTTAGGGCAAGGTCTTGGAGGATCCCAAACATGGAGCTTCCATGCCTTCTCCCCATGGAATCAGGATGCATCACCGTCTTGGCACACTGATGTGCTCACCAACCAGGAAGTTCAAATGACCCTTAATGTAAAGAGTTTTTACTGGAGTTTCATTACATAGGCATGATTAATTGTACCACTGGCCATGTGACAGAAAGCAATCTCCAGCCCCTGACACCTCTCCAGTGGTCAGAAGGTCAGGCTGATATCATGTGGCTCGAAGCCTCAAAACTCTAATCCCTTTGAGCCCACCACAAAGATTAAAGACACTTCTATCACTCAGGAAATTCCAAGGGTTTAGAAGCCCCATCCCAGGAACTCGAGGCAAAGAACAAATTCTTTACTGTACAACAACCCCACATTAACTGTCTGATATAAAGAGAGATGTACCCATATCTGGGCATAAGCAGTATCTACCTTAGTCTTTTCTGTTCTATACATGTATGACATTTAGTCAAAAATTGAGACACACTAAAAAGCTGGGAAAAAAAAAACTTTTGTCAAGAGATAAACCCAGATTCAGAGATGACTCAGATATTGGAACTCACAAAAAAATACCTTAATAACTGTGATTAATAAAAGACAAAATGTAAAAGTAAACAACGTACAAAAACAAATGGGGAATTTCACAGAGATGGAAGCTTTTAAAATAGATTAGTGGAAATGCTAGCAAAAGCACAATATCAGATGTTAAGTTTATTAGCAGTTCTTTGACAGGCTCATTAGCAGACTAGAATTGAATAAAGAATAGGTAACTTTGCCAATACATCAATAGAAATTTTCCAAACAGAAACACCAAGAGAAAAGAAAAAAATGAGGGGTGGGGAAGTAAGGAGAATAGAGCCTCCAAGAGCTAGGAGACAATATCAAACAATATGACATGCAAGTAATTGAAGTCCCAGAAGTAGAAGAAAGAGAAATTAGGTAGAAATAGATGAAGTAAAAATGGCCAAGGATTTTTGAAAAATTAATGAAACAGATTCAAGAATCCCAGAGAACCTCAAGCAGGATAAAAAACAATTATGTTACAAATGTAAAAACACACCTAAATACATCATAGTCACATTGCTTCAAATCAAAGATAAATAGAAAATCATGAGAGCAGAGAAAAAGGAAAATTTTATACCAAGGAACAAATAGGAGTTTCAATAGACTTCTCATCAGAAACTATACAAGCCTGAAGACAATGGAAATGACATCTTTAGAATGCTAATAGAAAAAACTATCAACCCAGAATTCCATATACAGCAATAATATCTTTCAAAAAATTAAGGCAAAATAAAGATTTTTTCCAGAAAAACAAAGCTGATCATAAAGGAAAAGCTAAGATTTTTTAAAAGAAGGAACAGGATACAAGATAGAAATTAGATCTACACAAAGAAAAGAAGTGAGGGAAATTGTAAAAATTAAGTAAATATAAAAGATTTTTTCTTATTTTTAATCAATTTAGAAGTTAATTTACTGTCAAAGATAGAGAATCTCAAAAGCAGCAAAAGAGAAGTGACTTGTCACATACAAGGGATCCTCAATAAAATATCAGATTTGTTATCAGAAACGTTGGAGGCCAGAAAGCAGTGGGCCAATATATTCAATGTGCTAAGAGAAAAAACCTGTCAAACAAGAATCCCAGGCTTCCCTGGTGGCACAGTGGTTGAGAGTCCGCCTGCCGATGCAGGGGACATGGGTTCGTGTCCCGGTCCAGGAAGATCCCACATGCCGCGGAGTGGCTGGGTACGTGAGCCATGGCTGCTGAGCCTGCGCGTCCGGAGCCTGTGCTTCAAGAGTGTGAGAGAAATTAAGACATTCACGGATTAACAAAAGCTGAGGAAGTTGATTATCACTACACCTGCCTGGCAAGAAATGTTTAAGAGTCCTGCAGGGTGCAATGAAAGGATATTAGACAGTCAAAGCTGGTATGAAGAAATAAATATCTCGATTAAGGAATCTGGGTGATGGCAGGCATCTGATTGAAGACAACAGCATCTGAGAAAATAGAAACCCTACCATTTGGATGATTCAGTGAACATACCATGGATTCATGGCTGTGGTTTTTCCATAGACTCTTAATCATTTCCTATTTAGGACTGTTGTGAAATAATTCATATAAGTAATGGGGATATGTAAAGTCTCAAAGGATGACAGAAAAGCTCTACATTTAAAATAAGATATGGGAAAAAAAGCATTTATAGGACTCACTCTCATAGGTCACATCTACATTTAAAATAAAAGCAACCATATGGAAATATTAGGCCAGTTTGTTTTTAAAT